AAAAAAAAAAAAAAGAATAAATTTTAGTTGCTGTTCTCATGATTCTTACCTTTGAGAGGCTTCACACTATTCAGTAATCTCTTCTTATACACCTTTCCATCTCCTGTGAGATAGGGTAAAATTCAAGTCAAAAGAAAAAGGATAAGGAACTCTATAATTTTATAAGGCATTTTATATAATTCCTCTGGAAATGTATTCAGCCGCACCCTCAAATAATAATAAAAGGAACGCCCACAATGCGGTCCATCTATTTCCTAGTTGGAACACATGGCAGTAGCTGATGCAGGCTACAAATACACCCACATATGTGCTTCTTTCTTCTTAGCTTTCCCTTCTTTAACTGCACTTCGTCCCCTCTGTCTTTCTCTTTTTCTTGCCTGTGCTCTAGGCCCATAAAAGTATTCCTATAGGCTCAGCCTGAACGTAGTCTATAAAGGGATTTTATTAAAAATAGTTATCAACCCAAACAGTCGTATAAAACAGTATTTAAATAAATTTTGTTCTCTAAACAAACTGTTTTCATAAATGGAGGGGAAATTCAACAGGGGCAGAGAACAAGGGACATCGACCAGCCCAATCCATCGCCACAGGAGTTGTCTGTCCCAGAGGGCCCCTTCCCGTGGAAGGAGTGAGTGTCTGCAGTGTTGACAGAACCCTCAGTGCCTGGCATGTGGATGCGGCTGTCTCCATTGTAGTCCATCTGCTTCTTTGTGCATCTCTACCCTGTTCCCTCAGAGCCAATATCCTAAGCATGCTGCAGTTCTCATAACTGGCCCCTTGAGAGCAATCTGGGGGAATGCTAGACATAGTGAGTGGCCACAGCCTTAGGTATATGTGAGGGGAATTTGGATGGGTATTGAGCATTTGCTCCCTGGGCTGCTGCTTCTGCCATCTGGGGTATAAGCACCCACCATGATGTGTGGGCTTGCTCTTGTTCGGGGGACAAGTGGGGACAGGTTCTATAGGGTGCGGGGAAGGATGTCTCCATGGAGGTCCCTGAGACTGGGCAGGAGGCACAGGTGAAGCCTAGGCTGACCTCTAGGTTCTCTGGGGGCGAGCATATGCAGGTGCCCAGGAGGTGGAATTTTTGAGGGACGGACTGGTTGGATCCCTGACCAATCAGAATCAAATACTGACAGTTTAAGCACATAGTCCTGGTGGTCCCCTGCTCTCAGGTGTTTATCTTTTAGTTGCTGGATTATGGGGAGATGGGAGGGCTATCAGGGCTAGCACTGAGGATGTGGGGCACATTCAGGGGGCTACAGAAGAATTTAGCTGTGTAGCCTTTGAAATATTTAGCAAGGGGCCCATTGACTGAATGGAAAAGAGAGGAATTTCTCACTTACAAGTTTCTCACTTCCAAACTAAAACACAAGTGACAAGAATGGGGTTTCTTACGTCTGGACTGCATTTTCCTTAGGGGGTTTCTTAGGGCATTAGACAATTCTCACCCAGAAGCCCACAGTACCACATTTCCCTGAGCACCATGATGGCATGTTAAACACTCACTAGAGATTGGCAGAGTTTTCAACAGCATCAACTGTTCTTTTTCAGTGGTCTCAATTCCCATATTTCTCAGCACATTTTTTAAGTCATTGGCTTCAACCTTTTCTCCTTTGAATAGATGGGAATCATTTCAGGTGACAATACTAAAAAATATAATTATTCTAAACTATGAAAAATATAATCCCGCAAAGCATTATTTCTAACTGCAGGATGAAGTTGAAATACATGAGCTGACTTCACTTACACAGAGTTATTGTAAAATTCAGTACCTGAAAAGTTTCTTTAATCAAAATAAGAAGCTAATACTCCTATTCTGTATATGGGTCGATATAGCATGGAGTTAATTGCCCAATGACTTATGTTGGTATATAGAATATACATAGTTGTACTGGTAAGTAATATCTGTTACTGCTTCATGACCTGAATTATGGGACTGACCATTCATAGTGACCATATTTCCTGATGCAAAAACTTCACATTGAAATCCACTGTGTTCACCTATATTTTGATTCTTTGAACACTAGAGAAATGAACACATTACTGGCCAAAATATTTGAGAGTGCCCACACTTCTAAATCTCTAATGATCTAAATTATTGTCAATAAGACAAAATCATCAATAAATAGGTAAAAGAGCAAAGCAAACTTATTAATGATGGCTGGAGGGGGTAAACAACTGCTTTAAAAAGGTATTTCTCTATAAGGCATCAAGATCTCAGTTTTATGGGGCACCTGGGTGGCTCAGTCATTAAGCGTCTGCCTTCGGCTCAGGTCATGATCCCAGGGTCCTGGGATCGAGCCCCTGCGTAGCGCGGTGCCTGCTTCTCCCTCTCCCTCTTCCCCTGCTTGTGTTCCCTCTCTCGCTGTGTCTCTTTCAGTCAAATAAATAAAATCTTAAAAAAAAAATCTCAATTTTATGATGTCTTATACAAGTTCTCACTCACCTGTAAAAGCACTAGCTGCTTCCATCAATGTATCCAAATCAATCTTTTCATCTTCTGTAGGAAAATTCAGAATTTAGATTCAGATGAAGATAATGAGACTTGAAAAGTTAAATAAAATTCTATTTTTTTGAAGATTTAAAAAAAATTTTTAAGTAATCTCTACAACCAACGTGGGGTTTGAACTCATAACCCTGAGATCAAGAGTTGCATGCTCTACTGACTGAGCCAGCCAGGGGTCCCTGTATAAAATTCCTAAACAAAGATTTGGTGTATGGAATCCCAATAATTTTTCATGTTTTATTCTAAAATTTTTATCTACAGGAACATATAACAAAAAATTCCGAGCTTTAAGTATATATCCATTCAATTAATATAACTTCTTTTTTATTTCATAAGCTATTAAAAACATATTTTTTTAAGATTTTATTTATTTATTTTGAGGAGAGAGAGGGAGAGAGTGAGCATGAACAGGGGAGAGGGGCAAATGGAGAGGGAGAAGCAGACTCCCCATGGAGTGGGGAACCCGATATGGGGCTCGATCCCAGGACCCTGAGATCATGACCTGAGCTGAAGGCAGATGCTTAACCGACTGAGCCACCCAGGTGCCCTGAGCTATTAAAAATCTTTAGAGTGTTATGGTGAATGGAATGTTTTGTTTGTTTGAAGTCAGCTCCATCCTAGAGGTCAGGTTTCCTTCTTTCAGACCTAGTTCTCTTGCACTGAGTAGAAGGTTGAGATGGGTTAGAGCCACAGTTCTCAAAGTGTGGTCCAGGGACCACTGGAGTCACCCAATACCCTTTGCCTTTTACACTTTTGATGTCTGCACTGGTGGTTCAAAAGCAGGGGTGGGTGAAACTGCAGGCATCTTCGCATGAATCAAGGCCATGGCAACAAATGTACTAGCAGTCACTGTGTTCTTCATTGTACATACTTGTAGTAAAAGAATGTCAGTTTCATTTAAGAATGTTCTTGATAGGGGTACCCTGGGTGGCTCAGTCGTTAAGCGTCTGCCTTCGGCTCAGGTCATGATCCCAGGGTCCTGGGATCGAGCCCCGCATCGGGCTCCCTGCTCCACGGGAAGCCTGCTTCTCCCTCTCCCACTCCCCCTGCTTGTGTTCCCTCTCTTGCTGTCAAATAAATTAAATCTTTAAAAAAAAAAAAAGAGTGTTCTGCTAAAAAAAGCAGCAAAAGGTATTGATTTTATTAAATCTTAACCCTTGAGAACACACCTTTTTAATATTCTGTATAATGAATTGAGAAGTTTGTATAAAGCATGTCAGTTGCATATGAAAATACAATGGTTTCTTGAGGAAAAGAACTTGTATGATTGAGTTAAGCAAACTAGCTGCTTTTTCATGAATACCATTTTCACTTGCAAAAATGGACAAAATCTAGTTACTCAGAGTTTGGTATTTGGGAAGCATCTTCTTGAAAATGAACAAAGTGAGACTATTATCTTTTTTTTTTTTAAAGATTTTGTTTATTTATTTGACAGTGAGAGACACAGCAAGAGAGGGAACACAAGCAGGGGGAGTGGGAGAGGGAGAAGGAGGCTTCCCGTGGAGCAGGGAGCCTGATGCGGGGCTCAATCCCAGGACTCTGGGATCATGACCCGAGCCAAAGGCAGATGCTTAATGACTGAGCCACTCAGGCGCCACCGTGAGACTGTTATCTTAAGAAAACAATTGACAATAGATGTTTTAATGGTAGAGTTCAAGTTTTCAAACAAAAATTTAAATTTAGAAAAACTTATATCCACATCATGACTTGATAGGTTCTCAATACTTAAACATTTTTAAAATAAGATTGGTGGTGATATTAACAAATGTGATTTTTAAAAATTTATTTATTTGAGAAAGAAAGTCCAAGATGGCAGAGGATTAGGAGACCTTAGTTTCATCTGGTCCCAGGAATTCAGCTAGATAGCTATCAAATCATTCTGAACACCTGCGAACTCAAACGGAGATCTAAGAAAAGAACAGCTGCAACTCCAAAAATAGAAAAGCGACCACTTTCTGTGAGGTAGGAGGTCCAGAGAAGTGAATACAAGGCAATATATGGGAAGATAAACCATGGGGGGAGAAAGCCTCTGAAAGCTAGCTACAGGAAAGTGATATAGCAGCCAAGTACAAAATTGGAACTTTTAGAAGTCTGCTCCAGTGAGGGACTTCCTGGCCTGAAAAGTCTGCAGGTGGCTAAGCAGGGAGAATGTGGTCTCAGGATCCCTGGGGTCACAGAAACACCAGGGGTGCCTGAGTGTGGCAGAGTTCTCAGGCATCGGAGTGGGGAAGCTGGCTGAAATCAACAAGCCCAGGAGTGGGCTCTCAGCTCCGGGTTGCCATAAACTTCAAACTGCAGCACAGTTGGGTGACTGCTCTCTGAGCAGGGGCCCAACAAGCAGCAGAACCAGTGAGACCCCCCTTCCTCCCCAGGGAGGAGCAGTGTGGGAGCAAGATGCAGGAGTCTGCAGGGCTTGGAGACTCCAAACGGGGTCATGTGCCTGAGATAAAATGCTTGGTCACAGGCTGGGTGAGCATGGAGTGTGGCTGGAGACCAAGGAGACAGGAGTGATTGACTGCTTTTCTCTGAGGGCTCACTGAGGAGTGGGGCCCCAAGCTTTCAGCTCTGGGCCAGGCTGGAGATTGGGAGGCCACCATTTTCATTCTCATCCTCTAAAGCTGCGTGGAAAACCTTCAGGGAACAAAAGCCACAGAGAACAAACCCGAGCAGATTACTTAGCCTGGCCCCTGGCAAGGGCAGTACAATTCTGCCTGGGGCAAAGACACCTGAGAATCGAAGCAACCAGCCCCTCCTCCAGAAGATCAGCAAAAACATCCAGCCAAGACCAAGTTTACTAATCAATGAGAACTGCAAAACTAAAGCGCTAGGGGAATACAGCACATAGAATCCATGGCTTTTCCCCCATGATTGTTTAGTCTTTCAATTTAAATTAAAAAAAATTTTTTTCCCCTTTCTTTTTCAACCAATTTCTTATTTTAGCAATTCTTTTTTTAAATCTTTTTAAATTTTCATTTTCAGAGTTACATTCTATCCCTTCATTGTATTTAATTATATTTTTCTATATATATAAGTTTTTCTTTCTTTA